ACGTTACGGGGACTGGTGACTCCTGGGGCAGGTGGGGCCCTCGCTCTGCTCCCTGGATGTGCACAGGGGAGGGAGCAACGTGTCGCCAGCGGCCCTGAACTGATCATGCCCAACTCGTCTGTTTGCTTGGGAGTGTTGCTGGCCAGAGCAGCTTGATGGGGTGAGGACTGGCCTCCCCCACAAGCTTCTGCCACCTTTGTGAAACATTCATTGGTAGGCAGGTGCAAAACAGCTGCTCTGACCAGCTCTGGAAATTCTTTGAATGTTTTTTAAAAATGAGAGAGAGCGCCAGCACCGCGGCTCACTAGGCTAATCCTCCACCTTGCGGCGCCGGCACACCGGGTTCTAGTCCCGGTCGGGGCGTCGGATTCTGTCCCGGTTGCCCCTCTTCCAGGCCAGCTCTCTGCTGTGGCCTGGGAGTGCAGTGGAGGATGGTCCAAGTACTTGGGCCCTGCACCTGCATGGGAGACCAGGAGAAGCACCTGGCTCTTGCCATCGGATCAGCGCGGTGCGCCAGCCGTGGCGGCCATTGTAGGGTGAACCAACGGCAAAAGGAAGACCTTTCTCTCTGTCTCTCTGTCTCTCTCTCACTGTCCACTCTGCCTGTCAAAAAAAAAAAAAAAAAAAAAAAAAACAACACAGAGAGCGAGCAAGTACTCCCATCTGCTGGTTCACTCCACAGTTGCCCACAACGGCCATGGCCAGTCCTGGAGCTGGAGTCGGCTCTCTCAGCTCTCTTTCTGGCCACAGCACAAATGAAAGGTTTCCTCAAGGCAGGGACAGCGACACGCAGAGCCAGGTGGCCACACATGGGGTCTCCCTGTGCCTTGTTAATGCTGCCCCATGCCTGACTCGGGCATGGGTATGATCACAAACAGGTTTTCTTTCATTGCTGAGAAGAATTGCTTGTTAATTTGTGTAATGGAGCTTAGAAAACAGCTTCATTGGCAAAATGTGTGGTATTTTATTATTCTGAACTAGTAAATTGTTACTTTCTGGTAGGACTATTTGCTAACCTTTCCCAGCATGGGGATTTCTCATGAGAACAAAAGCTACACCTAGGTGTAACTTTAAGTAACTGGCACTAAAAACTGGCATCTTATCTTTGCTAAAAGTCTGAACATGCCCAAGTATTTTTTAAACATTTTTAAAAAGATTTATTTATTTGAAAGTCAAGAGTTACACAGAGCTTGAAGGAGAGGCAGAGAGAGAGAGAGAGAGAGAGAGGTCTTCCATCAGCTGGTTCACTCCCCAGTTGGCCACAACGGCCAGAGCTGTGCTGATCGGAAGCCAGGAGCCAGGGACTCCCTCCAGGTCTCCCATGTGGGTACAGGGGCCCAAGCACTTAGGTCATCCTCTGCTGCTTTCCCAGGCACATTAGCAGAGTGCTGGGGCTCAAACTGGAGCCCATACAGAATGCTGGTTCTGCATGCAGTGGCTTTACCCACTATGCCATGGTGCTCGCCCTACCTGAGTATTTTTAAAAAATTTATGCAAGAGGGGCTGGTGCTGTGGCACAGTGGGTTAAAGCCCTGGCCTGAAGCGCCGGCATCCCATATGGGCACTGGTTTTAGTTTCAGCTGCTCCTCTTCCTATCCAGCTCTCTGCTGTGGCCTGAGAAAGCAGAGAGGAAGACCTCTCTCTCTGTCTCTACCTCTCTCTGTAACTCTGTCTTTCAAATAAATAAAATAAATATTTTTTAAAAATTATGCAAGAGGCAAAGAGAAACAGAGTTCCTAATGCTGATTCATTTCTGAAATGCCCACAACAGCTGATGCTGGGCCTGGGGCCAGAGCCAGAATCAGGGAACTCAATCCAAGTCTCCTATGGGGATGGCAGGAACCCAATTACCTGAGCCATTACGGCTGCCTCCTAGGGTTCCAGGAAGCTGGAATCAGGAGCAGGGAATCCAACCGAGGCACTCTGTTATGGGACCCGGGTCTCTTAACCACTAGGTCAAACTGCCTGCCTCCAACCATTTACCCCCCATTGTTTTTTTAAGAAGTATTTTTTTTCTTTAAAATGCTAACCTAGGGGTCAGGGCTGTGGTGTAGCAGGTGAAGCTGCCGCCTGCGGTGCCAGCATCCCATATGGGCACAGGTTCGAGTCCTGGCTGTTCCACTTCTGATCTAGCTCTCTGTTCTGGCCTGGGGAAAGCAGTAGAAGATGACCCAAGTCCTTGGGCCCCTGCACCCACGTGGGAGACCCAGAGGAAGCTCTTGGCTCCTAGCTTCGTATTGGCACAGCTCTGGCCATTGCAGCCAATTGGGGAGTAAATCAGCAGATGAAAGACCTCTCTCTCTCTCTCTCTCTCTCTGCCTCTCCTCTCTCTATGTAACTTTCTCTCTTTCAAATAAATAAATGAATCTTAAAAAAAAAATAAATAAAATGCTAACTTAAAAAAAAATAGGTTGGGCCAGTGCTGTGATGTAGCAGATAAAGCTGCATATCCCATATGGGTGACGGTCTCAGCTGCTTCACTTCCAATCCAGCTCCCTGATAATGCGTCTGGAAAAGCAGTGGAAGACGGCCCAAGTGGGAGACCCCAAGGAAGCTCCTGGCTCCTGGCTTCGGCCTGGCCCTGCCCTGGTTATTGCGGCCATTTGGAGAGTAAACCAGCAGATGGAAGACCTCTCTCTCTCTCTTTCTAAAAAAAAAAAAAAAAAGAAAGAAACAAGAAAAGAAAAAAATAGGGGGCTGGCATTGTGGTGCAGCAGGTTAACCTGCCATTTTGGGAACCAGTTTGTGCCCTAGCTTCTGATCCAGCTCCCTACTAATGTATCTGGGAACAGCAGAGGATGGCTCAACTACTTGGGCCCCTGTCACCCACGTGAGAGACCATATTGGAGTTCCAGGCTCCTGGCTTCGGCCTGGCCCTGCCCGACCTGTTGTGGCCATTTAGGGAGTGAACTAGCAGATGGAAGATCTCTGTCCCTCCCTCTTTCTTTATCACTCTGCCTTTCAAATAAATAAATAAATAAAAATAAGTAAATAAAAGGTAGAACCGGTCTGGGAGTCCATACTAGTGGAATGCTTAAGAAAGCTTTACAGCGCGTCCCCTCTGCCTGAGTTGCCAACACAGGGACACCCTGGATTTGGGTCCAAGAGGCCATGCAGACACTAATGATAAAATAATGGGCTGAGGAGCAGGAGTCTTTTTTTTTCTTTGATGGGCAGAGTGGACAGTGAGAGAGAGAGACAGAGAGAAAGGTCTTCCTTTTTGCCATTGGTTCACCCTCCAATGGCCGCCGTGGCTGGCGCGCTGTGGCCGGTGCATCACGCTGATCCGAAGCCAGGAGCCAGGTGCTTATCCTGGTCTCCCATGCGGGTGCAGGGCCCAAGCACTTGGGCCATCCTTCACTGCACTCCCTGGCCACAGCAGAGAGCTGGCCTGGAAGAGAGGCAACCAGAACAGAATCCTGCGCCCCGACCGGGACTAGAACCCGGTGTGCCGGCGCCGCAAGGCAGAGGATTAGCCTAGTGAGCCGTGGTGCCAACCAGAGCAGGAGTCTTTCCCATTTTCTGAGCCGTGTGTAAAAGTCCCAGGCTCCCATATGACCCTTAAGGGAGGAGCATCCATAATGCCTGGGATTTCAGTTCTCCCGGCTGCCAGGCTCCCGGGCAGAGTGAAGTCCAGAAATGCAGAGAAATGGACAGCATGGCTCACACCTTTGCTGATTTCTACCTGCTGTGCAATGTTGAATCAGCTTTCTTTTCTGCCACCCAATACTTTCTACCATGCTCACCCTCTTGACAAACATGTACAGGCCACACACTGGGCTAAGGGCTGGGAGGAGCAGAGAAGGAACAAACCAGAGGCCTTGCTCTGTGGGCCTTAATAGCTAACTCTTATGTAAAAATTACTGTTTACTAGACACTGCTGTCTATCAACTCTCAAACTATCAGATTAGCTACTACTATTATTTTTTAAAATTAAAGAACATTTTTATGTTTTAATTTTCATTTTATTTGAAAGGCAGAGATACAGAGAGATTCATGAAGATTAGGAACATAGGAATGTGAAAGGCAAGGGGGTGGTAGTGGGAGACAGATTGCTCCACGGAGGTTTGTTGGACCTCTTTGTGCAGGCACTGCCTTTGGTGCTGGGTATAGCAGGGACAGAGCATCTAAGGAACTTGAACTTTCAAATAGTTTGCTCCCATACCTGCTAAAAGGATTTCTGAAAACTACCCCCATGCACAACACTCAGCAGACCAGAAACAGAAGGGAACTTCCTTAACCTGATAAAGGGCACGTATGAAACACCCACAGCTCTCATATTTAGTGATGAAAGACTTCATGCTTTTGCTTCCTCCCAAGATCAGGAACAAGATAAGGTAGTCCACTCTGGCCACGCCTATCCAGGATTGTACTCGAGGTTCTAGACAGGCCACTAGGCAAGAAAACGAAATAGAAGGCATAGAGACTGGACTGGAATTTGAAATTTGAAAAAAAAAGTTTTTGTTTTTTATGCTCTTTTTAAAATTTTTTTTCCATTTTTAAAGTAAGAACTTGAAATTTTAAAAATAAAACTGTTACATGACAATTTTGAATGCCATCCAATGGAATTTAAATACTACAGCAATTTGATATCTACCATCATTCATGTATGTGGGTTATTGAAAAACAAAAGCAACTCTTTTAAGAAATTTAACATAACTCCCTGTTGTCTGTGAACTTGTATTCCATCTTACCCTCACAGAATTTTATCCTCAGTAATATAAATTTATGTTAGAAACCTTTTTATTGATCATCTTGTCATACTTTTTTGCAACATAAATGTGCACTTACGTGGATGTTTAATTTGTAAAAACATTGCCTGGGAGCATAGTCCTCTAAAAAATTCCTTACCTATTATTACAAGTATTACTGCATGATTAATCAAAGTAACATATATAGCTGGGGCCAGCGCTGTGGCGTGGCAGGTAAAGCTACTGCCTGCACTGCTGGCATCCCATATGGGTGTTGATTCGAGTCCTGGCTGCTCTACTTCGTTCCAGCTCTCTGCTATGGCCTGGGAAAGCAGTAGAAGATGGCCCAAGTCCTTGCGCCCCTGCACCCACGTGGGAGACCCGGAGGAAGCTCCTGGCTCCTGACTTCTGATTGGCGCAGCTCCGGCCGTTGCGGCCAATTGGGGAGTGAACCAGCGGATGGAAGACCTCTCTCTCTCTCTGCCTCTCTGTAACCCTGACTTTCAAATAAATCAATAAAAAAAATTGAAAACTTGTTCACATAAAATAAGCAAAGGGGAATGGAAGGACCTCTAGGTCCTTTGGAACTCCTTCCAAATAATGTGCCAAAGATTCTATTGTAATAATCATCAAACTTATTTTAATGACCCATCAGTTGACAACTCCAGGAAGGCCTTTTCTGTTGAAAACAAATAATTGGAAACTACCTGACTTGCAAAAACGTGCATTCGTCAGTCATTAAACTTACTCACTTTGCTCTTTCCAGACACCAGTTTTCCAGGGTGTCCCCTTGCCTGGACCCCTGGGAGAGTTTTACACCCCCTGAGATTCCCTGGGGAGCAGGAGGTCCTCTGTTTTTGTTTGTTTGCTTGTTTTGTCTGTCCCCAGCAGTCCTTGGAAAGAGAGCTCCATAAAGGCTAGGATGTTGGAATGTTGTTCATTGTCTCCAAGGCCCAGAGAGTGTCAGGTGCACAGGAGGGGCTCAGTGGATGTACATGGGGTGGTATGAAAAAATATAAAAACCACCAGTGTCTGTGGGTGTGGAATGGGGGCAAGGAGAACAGGCAGAGGGAGGCACCCAGCGCACTGTTCAGTATTTCAGGGCACACGCGCCAAAAGGCTGCATTTCCCAAACCGAACGAGCAGCGTGGAGTAGAAAAAAGGCATCATCTTTGGAATCCAGCCTGGGTTTGATTCTGCCAGTGACACAGAACAGCTGTGACTGCAGCCAAACTCCTGGTTAGACTGTTTTCCCGCATCGAAGGACCCATCGTCCCCACCTTGAGGAGAGTCCGTGGAGGAGGGAATGACTGAAGATAGTGCCCGTGAAACATTCCCACGCTCGCGTGTGCGCGGTGACTCTGAGCTGTCCTTTCTTCCAGCCTTCCGCTTTCACCTTGGATGGTGCCACCTTTCCCCCTCTCCAGCACAGACATTGCACCATCGGGACTCGAACCCTCATCGCTGCGGTTGCAATGTTAGAATCATGGGCCTCAGGACGAGTCCAGGGCAGTGAGACACACACCGAGGTAGTCACGGCTCGCCTCCTTGGGACTGTTGTGCAGATGAGTGCATTGGCTTTTGTGAAGGGCTTGGAACGGAGCCTGGCTCATAGTCCAGATTAACAGAGGAGGGTTATTTTTCTGTTCTGACTGTAGGGGGCTGATGAAAATGCATATGCTACCTTAAAGAGAAGGGGCAGCCCCGTGCAGGAGTGGAGTGGGAGAGTGGGGGTCCGCTCTGTCGCTCTGTCTCCCATGGAACAGGCATACTGAAATATCACAGTCAGGTTGTACGCGAGGAATGAGGACCGCGGGACGAGTTTCAGTGGGTGTAGCAGGTGAAGGCCATCAGTCAGTCCACTGGACTTCCTCACTGCGGCCAGCAGAGGGCGAGAGAAAGTCCTGTCCCCCTCCCTCCCTCCCTGCTCTCTTCTCTGCTCAGTATCCCTGGCGTTCCAGTCCCTGGCTTTCCTGCTGTCCCCACTTGGGCCTGTGATTTCTCTCAGCACAGGAACTCATCCTGTGAAGCCCCAGAGGCATGGGGCTCAGCACATGGCCAGCACTTGAGTACATACGCGCAGACATCTGGAGATAAACGGCTCACACCATAGCTTGCTAAGGACAGCCTCCCCTGGGACTAGGGGCACAGGCACACAGCAAGGCTTTCTAAAATGATTGGAAGGCCGGCGCCGCGGCTCAATAGGCTGATCCTCCACCTTGCGGCGCCGGCACACCGGGTTCTAGTCCCGGTCAGGGCGCCAGATTCTGTCCCGGTTGCCCCCTTCCAGGCCAGCTCTCTGCTGTGGCCAGGGAGTACAGTGGAGGATGGCCCATGTCCTTGGGCCCTGCACCCGCATGGGAGACCAGGAAAAGCACCTGGCTCCTGGCTTCGGATCAGCGTGGAGGCCACTGGAGGGTGAACCAACGGCAAAAGGAAGACCCTTCTCTCTGTCTGTCTCTCACTGTCCACTCTGCCTGTCAAAAAATAAAATAAAATAAAATAAAATAAAATAAAATAAAATGATTGGAGAGGATGAGGGAATGGCCATGGTTTCCGTCGAGTCCCTGGAATTTGCAGAAGTTTATGAAATGGAAGGGAAGCCACCTGGAGGCCAGGGCCACTTGCGGACAGCCAGCAGCACTCTGCTTGCCTTCATCTCCTTGGGAATAAGAAATGCCTGTGGGGATGGGTTGATTTCTTTTAGATTAATCAACGCACCTCCGAGTCCCTGGATTTTTAGAAGTTCCCTACCCCTGAGGTGGTGGGGGTCCTCCACGGCCACGCTTTCCATGGAAGCAGACACCCAGATTGCTGACGGATTTATCCACAGGCAGCAGAAGTACAGCAGGGTCTCCCCCCACCCCCACTTCTCTGTATTTTATGGCTCTTTACCAAAGAACAAATATTATTCTTTTTAATATCTTTTAAAAAGATTTACTTATTTGAGAGGCAGAGATACAGAGAGAGAAGTAGAGAAGAGGGGGGAGAGAGAGAGAGAGGACTTCCATCCGCTGGTTCACTTCCCAAGTGGCTGCAAAGGCAGGGCTGGGCTGGACTGAAGCCAGGAGCCAGCAGCTTCTTCTACTGCTTCCCCCCGCACGTTAGTAGGGAGCTGGATTGGAAGTGGACCAGCTGGGGCTTGAACCTGCACTCATATGAGATGCCGACACTGTAGGCAGAGGCTTAACCTTCTACACCACAGTGCCAGCCATGCAATTCTTTCCTCCTCCTCTCCCTCCCCCTCCCCTCCCCCTCCTTAACATATCTAAGTTTACTTTTTAAGGTATGCAAACATCATGCTTTTTTAAAACAAATATCAATCTTATAAGAAAACTTATCTTAACAAATCTTTATCCTGAGCTCAAAATAGTCTCCATCTATAGATTTGTAAAATTCATGTGAAATTAATTAGAACACGAGGCACCTTTGATTATGTTAAGTCCAACATTTATAGCATTAGGTATTCAGAAAGATTGTGCCTCAATTATGGGAAAATATTCCTTCCAAACTAACTGCTGTCCTGGTCTTACCTAACAAAGCATAAATGTATTACCTGAAATGATTAAAATGTTAATTTAGCCACATCCCAGAACAAACCTCAAGAATATTTATAGGATTACAAATACCCAACTAGATAAAATTGATAATATCTGATATGATTGGTCCAGCAGCCAATAAATGTTATCAAGTATGCAAAGAAGCAGAAAAAATATTTCTTCATAGAAGCAAAATAAGTCAATTGAAATGAATCTGAAAGTGTGTTGATGCTAGAGTAGTAGAAAAGAACATTGAAACAACTATTACTATATTATGTATAAGTAGCTAGAGGAAATACTCAGCATTTTAAATAGAGATGTGAAAGACATTAAAATATCAAAATTGAACACCTAGAATAGAAAATTACATCCGAGATCTTTAAAATTCACTGAATGGTATTAACTTCAGATTAGACATTGTAGAAGAAAATCAGTGAACCTAAAAATGTGGCTATGGAAACTATCCTAAATGAAACACAAAGAGAAAGTCTAAAGAAAAAAATAGAGTATGTGTTTGCTTATAACTACAATAGACAAATGTATGTATAAGTAGTTTTTTTAAAAAAGTTATTTGAAAGACAGAGAGAGAGAGAGAGAGAGAGAGAGAGAGACCTTCTATGTGTCGCTGGTTCACTCCCCAAATGGCTTCAATGGCTGGAGCTGGGCTGATCTGAAGCCAGGCGCCAGGAGTTTCTTCCAGGTCTCCCACGTGGGTGCAGGGGCCCAAGCACTTGGGCCATCTTCTACTGCTTTCTCAGGCACATTAGCAGGAAGCTGGATGGGAAGCAGAGCAGCCAGGGCTCAAACCAGTGTTCATATAGGACGCTGGAATCACAAGTGGCACCTTAACCTGCTGTGCCACAATGCCAGCCCTGTGAGCTTCTCCCTCTTGAAGAGAGAGGGACAGAACAAATATCTGAAAAATAATGGCCCAAAATGTTTACATATGCTGTACATTATAAACTAAGAGAGCCAAAAACCTCAACAAATCTCAAGCTGAAGAAACCTACACGAAAGCATGCCGTAATCAACTTGCTTACAATTGGTAATATAGAGGACACCTTGGAAAGCATCCCGAGATAAAAGACATAGCAAGGAACAAAGGCAACAATGACAGCAGATTTCTCCTCAGGAACCATGCAAGCTACAGAACAGTGGAGTGACCTCTTTGAAAGGCTTAAATAGTCAACCGAGAACTCGATCCTTACTAAAACTAGCTTTCAAAAACAAAAATAAAATACATTTTCAGATAAGAGAAAATCTGAAAGACACTCATCTGAAAGACGTACACTACAATATATGTTAAGGGAAGTTCATTGAGTAGAAGGAAAATGATGTCAGGTGGAAATATTGAGTCATACAAGGAATGAAGAGCAACAGAAATGTTGACTATGTAGGTAAGTATTTAAAATTTTCTTCCTATTTACATCTTCTATGCAGATAATTATTTAAAGTAAAAAGAATAGCAATGTACAAGGTACTGGGGGGCTTCTGACATATGTAGAAGTAAAATGTATGACAGTGTACCAAAGGCTGAGAGGGAAGACATGGAGATAAACTATTTTAAGTCGTATATTCTAGTTTGAAGGTAGACTGTGATAATTTAAAGATGCATAGTATAAACCCTAAAATGACCCGTAAAAGAACCCAACAGTCATAGCTAGTAATCCAACAAAAAGGATAAAAGTGAAGCACTAAAATAAATCATTTACTCAAGCAGAAGACAAAAAAGAGAGATGAAAAAGTAAACAAAGCACAGATGATACAAATCAGAAGCAAATAGAAGGAAGATGACACAAACCTAACCATATCAATAATCACATTTAATGCAAAAGGTCTGGGGCCAGTGTTATACCCTAGAGGATTAAGCTGCTGCCTGCCTGCAGCACTCGCTTCCCGTATAAGCATCCGCCTGTCCAAGTCCCAGCTGCTCCTGTGCCAAGCCAGCTCCCTGCTAATGCACCTGAGAAGGCAGCAGCAGATGATCCAAGTACTT